TGTATAGTTATTTTTGAGCGTTTTATGTCACCTTATGTCTTTTCACGAGATGGGTCATTTAAGCAAAGATTTATGTAAAGTTAACATACATGTTTTTAATTTTAATTTACATTTTTCTTTTACATTGTTATTATATGATACATGTGTTTTACATTTAGGAAGCAAATTTCTGCATTATTTGTGCATTTTGCCTACAAAAAAATTCCATACAGTACAAAAATGTAACCAAGTACACAACATGCAAAGCGAAATTGAAGTGATAATTCAATTTTTAGCGTAACTTTGTGATATTCCTGGAAATCATACATCTTTTAAGAGGTGCGCGTGCGCAGCGTACTTTGAAAATGGCAAGATTAACAAACACGGCCGCTCGTGCCGGCGCCGGCGGGGAACAGCCGAAATATCCGGCCGCCGGTCAAAAATAGTCCGCGCCACCGACACTAGCTGCATACAAAACTGGCCAGTCGGCCGACATATCGCCTTATCAAATTTCCCTGCCCACACCGCGCGACGCGCACGCCCACGCCCACGCGCCACTCGACACTCGCCCATTCCGCTCTCATCCCCCGCCGGCGGCGGTCATGCATTAGTATGTTAGCATAACTTCACTTAATCCATCGCCGGCGCAGCAACGAAGCACTCCGTAGCATTAATCGATTAAAAAGCGCCCTCTTGACTTACAATCGTGTCGCACTGCACGTGTGTCACTGGCCACTCACTCCCGTCGCGTACACCACGCGCTCGCTCGCCCGCCCAGCCTGCACTGCCCGTCGCCGCGCACGCCGCCTACGACGCCTAACGCACTCCCAAAATATCCACCATTGTGTGTACATTCACAACACCTACCTAATACCTAGGCTTTCATATTAATCTTCGATTAGTATACTTTAGGTACAGTAAAGGCATACAACTGAACTGCAGCCGCTATTAACCTTATTTTTGACCTGGTTTTCAAAACAATAATTTACCAACCGTGCGACGCCGTCCACGTGAAATATAAAATAATAAAAAAAAACATAGTCTTTGTCACTCACAGATAAATTTCATTCCTAACGGTGAAAGTAAATTTCCTTTCTAACGGTAACTTTTGAAATTGGCCCAGTAGTTTTTGAGTCTATTCATTACAATCAAACAAACAAACTTCTCTTTATAATATTAAGTACAGACCTAACAAGATATGTAGATTCGTTTAGTCAAAATATTTCACTTTCACATTCGTAATCCTATTTAACTCCCTGTTTACGTGTTTCTTCATGATTTATATCTGAAACGATACAAATTAGATTTTGTAAATAACAGCCGTTGCGTTCCCGATAACAAATTTCGCATTTTTCAGGAATCACTTCTCGCTGCATCGCTGAAAATAAAATTGTTTGGTTCTGAAATAAAATTCTGAATACAGTTTATTTATATTCCATATCAATTATCATAAGTAAAAATTTCTTTTTCCTTACGTTTTACAAAAGTTGTTTCTAGCTGTAATAACAAACAGAAGTATATTTTTTGATATTCCAGCTTTTCTTTTTAAATATTAGAAAATAAACAAAACTTATCTATAACTAGTCGTGGTCGTGATTTTGAAAATCGTTTATTACAAGTGTGAAGAAAGCGATTTCTGTTATAATTGACATTTGAAATCCTATGAGAAAGATATTCACAGGTAAAACAAGACGAGCATTGAATCTTTTAAACTCTGTCTGCTCCACTAACGTCATTAATTAACTAGCTTTCGCCCGCTACTCCGTCTGTATGTAAATAGAAACAAACATAACCAAGTAGCCTAGATGCTCTTCATGTCTATACTCTTTATCTATGTCAAATTTCGTCATAATCCGTTCAGCCGTTTAGGCTACAAACTCTAACAAACATCCATCCTTCCATCCATCAATCTAAACTTTCGCATTTATAATATTATTAGCTTACACCCGCGACTCCGTCCGCGTGAAATTAAAAAAAATACCTATGTGTTCTTCCAGACTATCCTCTACGTCTATGGAAAATTTCATCCAGATCTGTTCAGCCGCTTAGGCTACAAACTCTTACAACCATCCATCGATCCATCAAAATTTTCGCATTCATAATATTGATAAGATATCATAGTAAGAGGTAAGGTTAGTCAGAATATGTAAAAAGTTAAATTTTAAGTTTTTCATTTTGTGTTGTCTTCCGTCCGTCAGCGTCAACATAATGTATTTTGAGCTAACGCAAAGGTTAAGTCGATGATTGAATGAGGTCGTTAGAGTGCGTTAGAGATTGAAGAAGTGAAAAATGTCACTGCGCAGTAAATTGAACGTTCTAGTACATCACTTAAATGTTATATTAATAATGGTAGAGCCTAAAACTGGATTTGACGGTGGAATGGGGAAATGTCCACTTTAAGAGCGTCTCCTCCCCCGTCAATTAAGGGTAGGCAACGCATCGTCAATTGCGGATGTGTATGGAGAGCGGTCGCTTTCCATTTCGGTGGATTTAGGCAGCTTGCTTGTTTGCCACCTTATAATATAAAAAAATATAGTTCAACTGAATACTGATAAATACATGAGACAATAGTTTTCTGTCTCTTCAGTTGAAGACTTCAATCTTTACATTATTGCAACGTTTTAAAGAAGTACTAATTCAAAACTAAACCGCACACAAATATTTCCGCATATTTTGGTCATAAAATATAAATTATTGTGTTGGTATTGGTCCAGAATACGTTGTTATTAATTGCAACTAGCGACATCTGGAACGACCTTCCATAAACTAATGTCATTTCATAAATGTAATGTGTAATGCATTAGAACTTTTGATCGAGAGTTATGGAAGATGAGACAGGGACATACTAAACTGTTTATCTTACTTATATTATAAATACGAAAGTTTGGACAACAATTTGTACTAGTTAACTCCAGAACGGCTGAATAGATGTGCATGTAGTTCGTCGTAGAAACAATCTGGTAGAATATATAGTGTATTTCACTTTAGATCCAAAAAAATGTAAAATTTCCGTTCAAGAAATTTGTTTGTTTATACAGATTTCGATAACGTAAAGAAATACATAAATACTCAGTTTTTAATTACACATTGACGATGCGGACAAAAGTTAATTAACATAAAACAAATCCGAAGGGTTCCACTATATTTTATTTCAGTTTATTAGTATTGATGGAACTAAAATCGGATAATTTTGTTTTTGCCAACACTCTACCTTGAATATACAAAGTTATTTTGACTTTATGTTCCATTAACAGTGTGTTTATGTTAGCAAATGTTACATACGTAAAATCGTAATCTGTAAGTGATTTTAAATCACGACTAACTAACCTTGACATTTGAAAATAATAAACTAACAAGTAATCTAATTCAATAACTATAAATTTTGCTTGTCATTAATTACATTATCTCTTGAAATAGCAAAATTTTGCATGAAAATACACGGTAAGAGCGCGCACGTTTGACTAAACTATCGCACAACTGTTTAGTCGCACTTTGATTCCTATTATCTTATGTAAAGGATTTTTTGTGTTGTGCGCATGCTCTGAGAGTTCCAATAGACTACGTACTCTGTTAAGCTAAAATCATATAAAACAAAATTGATGTAATTTGCGCTCCTTCATACATACTGATTGGCGACCGACTAAATTATCGGATGACAAAATGGTCTGCCAATAGTACACATTAAACTGACGGTTTAATGGAGGTCCCAGTGGTGTGACACTAATGCAAATAGACAAATGTTTTGTAAAAACTTTTATAAACGTTTTTAATAAGTTCGGTGACTTCTTACAGGCGGGAAACAAAGCTAAGATTTTAAGATTTTAAGGACGTTATGTAGACGTTTTTGACCGACTTTTTGTTTTTTTTTTTTGATGTGTGTTATCCTTTGGAATATTTTCTTTATCTTTACCCTATAAATAGTTATTTTTAACACTGGCTTTGTCTTCGTATTCGTTTGTTACCGTTATAATTTGTAGGAAAATAAATCTTGTTTATACATTCTAGTAAACGCTGATTAATAATAAATATTGTAGGTGCAACATTTATTATTTAATTGTTGAACTTGGCATAGAGTTTGTTTATTTTGCACTTGAACAACAAAACTAAAGACATCGCGTAGGATACATCCTGTATACGTGACTCGAGTCTTATGTTTTTGCTTCAGTGCTTTATGAGAAGTGGCGATTGATTCATGCATCTGCCTTCTCTGTAGGTATCAATAGCCCAAAATAATATTTTACCACAGGTTTTCTCTAGCAAAATACGGACTAAAATAATGCAGGGCGTTTAATAAATGCAATTTTTTTATCACATTTTTTCATAATGTTCTTTTCAACCAGGAGTATCATTTATTTGAGGATATAGGACAACGCCATCTAGTGCTAATATAAATACAAAGCGAGAGCTTTTCTATCTTAACTGAGATAGTTTTGAATTAATTATATTAGCGGTTGTGATTAGGCGTGAGACGAGGGGCGTCGAACACCGCACTCAGCGCGTTCCGACTACCGACCTGGTTACATCTAGGTCACTGTATACAGACCGAGTTATTTGTTTTGCGAACAACCAAAATAAATCTGTAATGTTTAGTTGTAATGAACATTCCAATTTTTCGGATTGCTTTGAAGTTGCAATCTTGTATAAAGAACTCGGTTAAAGACAAGTATCGTTGTGATTCATAACCATTCAGAATTTTAATGAAATGGGCGTTTCTCCGGTTGTGCGAATAGTGGAAAAAGGAAGAGTACGGAATCAGATCAACATGAAATAGAGCATAAATTTTATAATACCTTTGAATATATAAAAACTCTATCAATAACTGATTAGACATTGTCATTTAGCCACTGGCTCTTGCAGAAAAATATAAATTGCGCTGTCAACAATTGCTATGACAATAAGTCATTTGATTCACGTCAAAATTATCAAGAACTAACTAAACCACATGTTTAAATTTAAAAAACTTCAGAAACCTAACAATGTAAAGAAAAATGGACATTATAACATAACTTTATTGACTTCTATTGGTGATGTTGAGAAGTGCAATAGTTGCGGCATTTCTCAGCATCCCTAACCCTGTTCTCGCATTCAATGGCCTGAGGTCGTGGTCCAGGAGGGTCGTGTACGAAAAGATCGACCTCTGCACTCAGTCGTGCTACAGCCAGATCGTGCCCGGCCTCTATCTCAGCAACGCGAAGGCAGCGGTCGACGCGGACGTCATCCGCGCCCTCAACATAACACATGTCCTTACCATCGAGACTCACAGGATACCCAAGTCGGCCTTCCCAAACCCACATGTAGCGACTCTCTTCATCAGAGCATACGACTCTCCGCACACCAATCTACTGCCGTATTTCCCAATGGCTAACGCATTTATCGATGAAGGGCTTCACAGGGGAAATGTTCTTGTGCACTGCCACTTCGGGGTCTCGCGCTCTGCGACGATCGTGATAGCGTATCTAATGGCGAAATACCAACTGACATTTGAGGAAGCTTACTCTTACGTGCGCAATAGACGGAGGTTCATCAACCCCAACCCTGGATTTATTAGCCAGCTAAAGGAATACGAGCGGATGAATTATGATGTGAACAGTTTCCTGAGACTAGAAGCGTACCTGAACGTGAAAGCACGCGAGCACAAATACAAGATAGCCTCGGTGACGGCCATCTTCGTGGGTATTCTTGTACCGTTAGCCGTCCTCATTGCCTGACGCTGTCCAAGTAATCATGATGTTAGTGTGTAAAAATGCAATAAAACTTGTAAGTCAACTATTTATAATTTCATTTATGCAGTTTTAGATTTCTTGGAGAAGACGACGCGAAAAATTGTGCCAGCACCTATCCTCTAGCTAGTCTAATCGACTGAACTAGTTTTGGGGAGTGTTGTAGCATCTGATTTGTATTCTTCTGTGGCGTGTCATTAGTAGAGGCAGTAATGTTTTTTGGCTTTTTAAATAACATTTTCGTTTTGTAATAACGCTATAGTTTTTTATATATAAGAGAAGTGGGCAAATGAGCAGCGGGAACTCGGAGATGTTCATCCATGCCTATGGACATCCGCAATACCTTTGATTTCATAACATTATATGACTATTAATATTTGTTATAGCAATGTTCGAGCGGGTCACAAGTTAAATAATAAATCAATAAAAGCTGCGGCTGGCAACCGATGTTGATAAAGCCGGAAGTGCACTAAATCGCACGGCCGATGTTATATCAGGCGTAGAATCATCGCTCCCACATACATGAATTTTCTACTTTGAATCATTACATCACACAACTTGTACAATCAGATACTAAGTAGACTTTTACCAAACTTCAGGTGCTTGGATACGCTTTCAGTTCCAAAAATATATATGCATGTTGTATGTATAAGGAACGGATGAAAGGAGACTACATGTGACAGAAATGCGAATGTTAAGATGGATGTGTGGTAACACGAATGGATAAGATACGAAATGAGTATATTAGAGGAAGTTTGAGAGTAGCCCCCGTAGTAGAGAAGGTAAGGAGTAAAAGGTTAGCATGGTATGGGCATGTTATGAGGAGGAATTAATCGCATGTTACAAGGAGAACGTTGTTTTGAGTGTGGAAGGGTACATCGGTAGAGGTAGACCTAGAAAGAGATGGATGGATTGTGTAAAAGGTGACATGATCAAAAAGGGAGTGATGACTGAGATGACGGATAGAGTTCTGTGGAGGACAAAAACCTGTTGCGCCGACCCTACGGGAGTAGGATAAGGGGATGATGATGATGTATGATTTCAACCATTTACTTTTGAACTGAAAGCCTACTTTCTAAAGTCTTGTAATTGAATAGATATTTGTGCAGCTAATTGTACTTTACTCACTCCATAGTTATTTCTTGTATTTTAACTATTTACAACTGTTGAATTACTTTTTTCTAGTTAGTATTTTTAATGATGAGAATAATATTCAAAACACTTGAGAAACTTTTTAAGAAAATTCTACTGAAGTCATTAACGTTGTCTAATTAAATATTTATTTTGTTTTTTTGGTTAATATTTGTTTACAGCTTCAACATTTTAGAGATACTTTTAAACGTGTTATTTCGTAATTTTCTCTAAAACGCTCATATTGTTTGTACAAAGTGCCAGAATCTTTGTTTTTCAACGGACGCTATTAATTGGTTAGATATTTTGGTCTGTCTATATATAAACTGAAGTTAATACAGATACTTGTATCTCGAGTTACTCTTGATTTTTTTTTAATTTCCAAACTCTTAGACTATGATCTTTGTGAACTTTGGTTGCAATCAATGGTTTATTTACTCAATTTCTTTATAATTTCGATGGGAATCTATTTTTATTGACCGTCAACACGTTGGTTGTTAACATCCCACTCATTTGGATATGGTACCATACTTTTTTATTGCTTACGACAAAAGATGATAATAACAATGCGTACTTATTTTTTAAATTTCGATGTCGTGGAAATAAATGCAAGGTTCAAATGTCAAAAGAATTTTGAGACATGCAATATGTAACTATTTTTCAGAATATGCAATCTTTAATTTTTATACTAGACTAGTCGACCGCGAAAAAAAATCAAAAGTGATTAGCCTATGTATTCTTCCAGGCTATCCTCTACAACTATACCAAATTTCATTGAAATCCGTTCAGTCGTTTTGGCTACAAATTCTAACAAACATCCATCCATCCATCTAAACTTTCTCATTCATAATATTATTATGATTTAACTCACAGAGTGTCATAAATTTTATTATTATGGAAATCTTTCACTTCTTAGAGTGGCAGCAGTATTGAATATTTTTCAGTTTTGTTTTCAGAGTCAATAAAGGGAAATCAAAATTGGTTTTAAATAAATTCTCTATGGTACATGATCGTATTACCTTGGTCTTGTGACTATGAGTATCAAAACATTGAGACGCCCTTCTTCAAGGTGAACCATTGAGCTTATGATGACAGGACCGCATAACTACTGCAGGAGGAAAGAATGGTCTGTATCCATCAAGACTGACAAAGTATGATCTCGATTTATTGTAATAATCGTTGTAATACTAATGTTTCCAGTGAAACTGTTAGTATATATCGAATGCAGCATTCGACTAGACTTTAGGCGTATCGCTGACGCGTGTTGGCAACATATTCCAAAATAATCTCGGTCTATTTCGATTCTGCCGGTGACGTAGTCGGCGGGAATGTGCACGACAACACATTCTATTTCTGTTTTTATTTTCCAGTTTTTTAAGAATGATCGCTAAGAGAACGTTCTTGAATACACTGGAATATTGGATATTGTTTTTTTTAAATTGTACTTAATGTTAATTGAATTTAAAAGATATGTAGAATTGTTAAAGTTTACTGAATTTTGTTGTTTTATTCGATTACTCAACATCAACCTGCCCTTGTCCCTACGCAGGGTCGGCACAATATGTGCTACTCTTCCATACATCTCTATCAGCCGTCATATCTGAATTCACTAGCTTCTTAACCATTAATTCGACAGTGTCCAGTGTGACAAACTACTTATTAAAAATGTATTTCATTCATAATTATATTTCAAAAGGCTACTCAATTTCATTTTGCTACAACAAAAGCTCAGTGAAGTTAAGGATTAAGCATATCTTCTTTTACAAAACCCATACATACTTTCTTCGGTTTTCCTCTACCTTTATAGCTATTATTAGACAACTTATTTAATTGATACTGTCGCTTTTAACTCAGAGCAATACTTCACGTCAAGACTTAGGATGCGCGCCAATCTATCCATACTTGTAGTGACATTGACAGCTGTCAGCTAGGGACGTGACGTTTATGCCGATAATCTAGAGTTGCGCCAATTCTATAGCACGGTACTAATTTTATTCCTAACACTATCCTCATTCGATATCAATACTTTCTTCTTATTACTTTGGAATAACAACTTCCTTTTTACGTATTTTGACAGTAAAAATCTTAGTAAAGATGAAAATTGTAATAACTTGTCATAAATTTATTGTGAATTAATTTATTCTACTCGTACTAGTATTTAAATGTAAAAGTTTGTATGGATGGATGTTAGCATTTGTAGCCGAAAGGGATCTCAATGAACTTTGGTATAGATGTATAAGATAGTCTGCAAAAACAGATAGGCTACTTACTTTTTTTAAATTCTACGCGAGCAGTCACAGTCGAAAGCTGGTTAAAAAAAAATATACGTTTCAGTGATAAGGACTTTTATTCAATAAATTCATTAAAATATCGTTCACAGGTTTACAAATGCATTTTTACAATATTAAAAAAAAACAATAATTTATTACAAAATAGTAGTTTGTTCTGTTACAGCGCTATTTTGTGCGTACCATTTATCTTTATTTAAATAATAAAAAATATAACAAAATCTTATTATCTAGTAATCTCATAAAAATTAAACTAAGAGATTCGACGTTATAGAAACGTATCAGAATATTGCATTAATTAACAAGCTAAAATAAAAGATTACAATTAATAACTAACACTAGAAAAATTACATTTAACAATCCTGTAAAAAATTCTAAAAAAAAGTGTATATTTGTACAATATTTCTATAGAAAAATTAATCATAAGGATACTGACTTTACAACCGTTAGAAAACATGTTTCCATACATTCTCAACATGTTTTCAAACATTTGTAAAGACAGTCAAAAGTCATAGTAAGTTAAGTTTTACCTTGCATATGTTCACTGGAGTTGATTCACTTCTGAAGCACCATTAGGAAATTCTGTATTGCTAGCTCGCTCTAACTCAGAAAATATTGTCTAAAAATGTATCCTATTCCAGTCCAGCGGATCCAGTTCTTTCAACTGGAATGTTGTAAACCCACACTAAAATGCAATATTTAAGTTTCAGTATTGTTTTCCAGTTGTATTCCAGAGCTGGATCCGGTAACTGGACTGAAATAATGTAAATGGCATTAAAACATTTTACAATTCAATTTTTATTTTATACATAATAAGACCCCAATTCTATTCAACAAACATATAGATGTATCGGTCAGGTGTTTCCCATTGGACCGATCGAATCCATAGATCCAATGGCCCAATAGGAAGAAAAATCTCATTTTACCGATCAAAAGGGTCAGTCCTTTCAGTCAGCTTTCCTTTGTCTTGTATTTTAAAACTATTTTCTTTCTACGATCATTATAAATTAAATAACTACAAGTCGATAAAATCGTCATGTAAAGGCACTTCTATTTTATGTTCATAGTTAAGGCACTGTCAACCTTTGTATCGTTACATTAAATGTCTTAACTGTACAATATTATTTATAATAATTAACTATAACAAGCTTAAATTAATTATTGTACTTAATTAACCATGGAAGACGATCTATAAGAGTTAATATTATTTACAGAAATTGAAGAGTTTTGTCTTTTCTTTTATTCCAAAATTAATGTACTTTGAAAAATCTTATATCGAACTAAATTTAGAAATTTATAATTAGTCAGTCTGTAGAGCAACGTGATATATACTATTTTAAAATAAACTTTGAAATACATTATGTTGGAGCGGAGACATTATAACGAACAAAATGTTTTTGTACTATTTTAGTATGTAATTTGATAAAAAATTTGATCGTTTATCACTTCATATTATTTTCAGTCCAAAATTGTGTTATTGTATCATTTGTAAATATTGATTTTCTTCATAAAATGATGACAGCGAGGTCTGCAGGTCGTTTACAACCATATTGTCAGCCTGTAGCGGGTGTGTGCTGCTCGATACCATTTCCGAACTCTTCCAGTTCTCGCAACTCTCCACGTACTCTAATGTACGTTGGTACGTGTCTTGACGCATCGTGTTCTGATTCTTCTTTCTACCGTTAGAAGCTTCGATCTGTGATTGCGAAATGTCCCATACTTGCACCTCACTAGTTTGATTCTGACTGCGAACGCTATTCATACTGCAATCCGTTTGTTGGTCGTTTTTCATTTGGTTGCAGTTCACCGATACTCGAGTCCCGTTCACCGGTTTCTGACTCCCCGTAGACATGTTCACGGAATTCTGTACCGATTTTTGCATGTTGTGCTTGTTGAACTGATTTCCCGGATAATCCCATTGGTTGTAAGGTCGTTGATGATTGTAGTATTGGTTGTTGTTCATCATCGCTTGATTGTACTGGTGATTGTTTTTGGGTGGAGGAGGTCCCATCACCTTGGTCGCGTTGACAACAGAGTTGTACGGAGGTGGTTGTGGATATTGAATGTTCTGGTTGTAAAGATTTTGAGGTGGCATTTGATTTAGTTGGTCGCAGTAGCTGTTCATGGTTCTCATGTTTGTACTGTTGTCGGTGCTCATCGCCGAGGATCGTGATGTTTGCATTTGATTATGGTAGTTAACGGATTGGTAGTTCAACATTTGGTTATTATACGCCATGTTGGGTTGGTTCTGCATCGGTCCCTGTCTCGGCATTTGGTTCTGGTTGTATTGCATCATTTGATACTGTTGCATGTTTTGTTGACTTCGCATGTTTTGATTTTGTACCTGTACTGGATAAGGAGGTGCCGGTCCGTAGTTTTGGTTTTGGTACTGATTAGGAGCAACGTTGGAATAATTTTTATTTGGCATTTTAGCGTTGCAAGTCTGTCGATTATTCACGTAGGGAGCAGCAGTCATTTGATTTTGGTTGAGTTGATTCATATTTATCATAACATTCTGAGTTTGGTTGGGTACTGGTGTGCCGTTCATCGTCATGTTTGACATATTCTGCACCATGGGGCTGGTGAGCGGGCTCTGCAGGCCAGGGTGCATGGGGCTGGCCATACCGTGGCTCATCGGACTCGCTATATTCATCATGGGACTGGCGATGTTCTGAGACATAGGACTGCCTATATTGTTATGCCGTGGACTCATCATCATTTGATTCGGCATCTGTGGACTCATGAGACTTTGCATGCTCTGAGGGCTCATTGCGTTGTGTTGAGGCGACATGACGCTCATGACACTTTGAGGACTCATGACGTTGTACACACTGGGGGGACTCATGACGTGAGGCATGTGCGGACTCATTCCGCTCTGGAGATTGTGTGGGCTCATCCCACTTTGTGGGCTCATGGCACTGTGCGGCAGACTCTGTGGACTGAGCATGCTATGAGCTAGGCTCGGGCTGAGGACATTCTGAGGGGTCATCACTATTGTCTTCGGGCTCATCGCCGTCTTCTGAGGTAGAGGATTATTTATTCGCATCCTATTCGATTGTTCCGTTTGATTCGCTGTCATCGTTTGCAGAGATTGTAACGGATTATTCGGTGTGTTGCTTGTCGGCGGTTTGGTGTAATCCTGGTCGCATTTCTCCGTTACGACTTCAGGTATGACTTGCTCCTGGAGTGGAGCGCTTTTGTCTTCCGGAGTTTTAGCTAGAAGAGAGCCGCTGTTACCAGACATACTAACGTCTAAAGATCTTAAATCGACTGGAATATCACTTATGTTGAGATCACTTCCTATGGCACCTAAGTTTTTGAGGAGGGAATCGTCACTGGTGGCGACATCACTGATTTTGTCACTGGAATTGTTCGTGTTCTTGTCACCGGCGTTGTCTTTGGTCGGCGGGTCCTTGTCCTTTGAGTCGGGGTCGCTGGCGGCTGAGGGGTCCGTCTTAGCTGGTGTTACCGTGTCGGTGGCCAATATTGATTGGTTAAGATATTGCATCATCTCGTCTGGTATCACCAGCTTGTTCTCCACCATTTCACCTTCCGCCACCTGAATAATAAAAGAAGATGTGATATTCTAAAGACAAATATAATTGTACCTTTGTTTCTAATTACTTGCTTGTAATAATTTTGTAGTTAATCATATAAATCGAAGATCTATTTGTCCCTGTGATCTGTTACTAGTTACTAAAAAGCAAACATGATATTTGTAATGTAAGTTACCTGTTCCAAGTTGACCTCCTGGTTGGGATGGTGTACTTGCGCGGTGGTTACGACCGTGTTAGTGGAGTTGGAGCGCGACTCCTTGTAAGTGACGGCCTCGTGCTCGTCCTCCGTTTTGAATTGGAATGGAGCGTCGCCCTGTTCGCACAAAAATAGCATTTGTTATTGATTCAGGTATGGGCAATATACTTTTTCCAATGACAACCACGGCTAACAGACAAATGCCAGTTGGACAGTTGCGATAGCCAGTCTTAGAATGTATAGACACACTGACGCTAGTTAGCAAACACACGTGCCAGTTGATTGACATTCTACTTTACTACTGACCAACTGTACTGGCCAAGTGGGAACCGCGCATCATGCTAGTGTCACGGAGCCAGTTGCCAAGACGGTGTTTAACTTACGACTTCATCAGCGGCGCAGGGGTAAGGCTGGTAGGCGTGCTGGTCGCTCAGGTTGGAGTGCTCCGACAGGCGGCGCGCCTCCTGCTTCACCTGCACCTCCGCCTCCAGCTCCAGCGCCAGCTCCTCCGCGCGCACCTCCGAGCACGTCACGCCGCGCAGCAGCACCGCCTGCACAAATACATCATTATTGCAAACAAACTACTCAAGTTGGCACGTACAGCGGAAGAGTACACTTCTTACCAATGTGTCAAGTCAAATGCTATATAATGCTAATCATTCTACATATAATTCGTTGTTTAGGTTTTATCTACAGCAGCAGTTTTGCAAATAAATTATATTGCTGTCTGCTGTAGTATTATTACAATCTTCCCACAGAATTTTTTTTTCTAGTATGATAATGAATTCAATTAAACTTTGCCAGCCTTACAAAAAACGCGGTGTTAACTTAAATAAAGGGAGTATAAGCAAATATTAGTACAAATTTTGTTTATATTCAGTTTATTCCTAAGTTTACTTTTATACCGCGTTTATGTGTAAGGCTGTTAGACTATAGATAATGATAATTTCTATTATTGTTAAAACTTTGTGTAATTAAACGATATCTGACCTGATTCCCCTGCGAGGTCCTGACGGCCTGCACGGCGGCGAGCGCGGAGGAGGGCGGCGGCGCGTACCCCACACACGACACTTGACTAGATCTGCCAAACATATTGATAAATTAATAAAAACTGGATATTTTAATAACATTAAAAACTTGGTCCTACGAGTCGGCATAGTTCTAAATAGTTTTTTCACGGGTAAAGGGGGAAAAAAGAGTCCTTATTGTTAAGGAAGACTTTGGCTTGGCTATATGTGTACCTTCGACTACTATCCGGTGACAGCTGGTCGTAGACGTTGTGTTGCGCGAGCAGCCGCGGCGCCGCGCCCGCGCCCACCGCGCCCATCGCGCCCATAGCGCCCACCGCGCCAGACACCACCGACGCCTGGCTGCTCTTGCGAGATATATCTGACGACCTGCTTACACGTATAGATTTGTTATTAAATATTCCATTTAATTCAACCAAACCCACCGTGGGCCAGCGTGATTGAATTGTCACACCTAACTTAAAGTAGGCTTCAAGACTCTTAGTGGGAACTATTGTAAGTTGGTGATGATGATTTCACTAAAAGCCTTATACTTAGTAAAATATTTGAATTCAAATAAATGGCATTGTTCTGAAGAGTGCCAATTCAATGGCATTAGAGTTTGAATTCTATTTCTCATGAAGAAATTTTGCAAATTCTTAGAGAAATAAAGATCTCATGGAGAGTCGTTCGGTAGTTACTTAAGCGGTAGGGACCGCTTGAGTTGTGAAGATCCCTTTAATAACATTATATCGACTCTGATTACTGAAGATATGCAACGATAAAAAGTTAACATACCTAGCGCTGTACAGACTGCTGCCAGACGAGATGCCGGAGTCCCGCCTCGTGTTGGGGAGGCCGGTCTTCAGCTCCACGGCCACGTTAGTGCTGCCCAGCTCCGTACGACCTGGGATACCTGGTAAACAATTACATAACTAATAAGACTACTTATTAATTCAGAAATCTGATTTACACTAGGAAGAAAATAGAAATCAAATCATGTAGATAATATTGCTTCAGCTATTTAGGGTAAAAAGTTGTCACCCGCAAATTTCGTTAGGTCAGAATAAAAAAAAATAGCCGTCTGTAACATTTCCGCGAGCATCAGCTACCCTCCAGTGAAAGTCCCGTCTAAATCGGCCGAGTCATTTCGTAGATTACTCGGAACAAACGCGGCTTGCGGACGTACAAACATTTTTAAATACGAATTTGGTCATCAGAAACACAGTGGAACTGTGGACTGTGGGACACATCAAATCTGGAATTTTCCTTTCTATGTTACACTCACACACTCCAATTTGTACCAATATAATAAAGCGTAAACACACACAACTTTGTGGCGTAAGATATCAGCAATCACAGCATATTTTGAATAATTTTTTCTTTAATAAAAATCCCTACACTTATGTCACGCTTTAGGCTATATATTTTTACGCTATTAAACTTATGGGGTAAATAAATTGGATGAAAACGTTAATGTGGGAAAGGGACCATAAGCTACAAGTTGCCAACATGAAGGAAATAAGATTGCAATGGTTTGTCATCATGTCATGTCATTTTGACATTTGCAATTGAGAATTCGACAAATGTAAAGAATAAAATAATGTTTTTATAATTTCTTGCGATGCTTCCGCATCTTTACATTATTATATGAATAGATTATCATAATGAAATGTGTGTCTTACCGGGCGCGGCGGGCGCGGGCAGGTCGTGCGGGTGCAGCAGGCGCGCGCCGGCCGCCATCTTGTGTCCGAAGCGCGGCGCGTGCGCGCGCGGGGAGCCGATGGCCACCATGGCGCGCAGCATCAGCGGCAGCTGCCCCACCTCGCCCACCACTTCTTGTTCCACCTGCATTATAAACAATATAGTAAACATTTGATTACACAAGTTATCAATCAGAGATTTTCAATCTTTTGTTGTTTAAACCCCACGTTACTGTTATGTTTTTTTCTCTTTGCGACCTTCTTAACTATTGTTTTCGCCCTCCCATGTCTTCCTTACACCCTAGAAGATTTACTAATCTGTCAACTCTAGAAAATCATGAAAAATTTTGCATATACTCACATCGCCATCAAGTCTAAAGTATGGAGCGCCATTCTCATCACTAAAGCCGCCGAGTCCGGAGCCACCGAAGTCCAGCTCTCCGCCGCATTGAGCTGACAACTGAAAAATAGACACAAAATATGATTAACGCCCTCTATTGGACGTCTCTAGAAAACATCTAGCAAAAGCTTTATGACTCCATACTAATATACCTGATGCGCAGGAGTGTGCAAGCTGTGCGGCAGCGGCGAGGCAGGACTCTCGCTCTTGACGGAGGCGGAGGAGGCGTGTCCGCGGCCGGCGGGAGCGCCGCCCTCCTCGGAGCGCGGCGAGGAGCCCGCGCCGCCGCCGCCGGACTCCGCAGAGTCGTCGCCGCGACTGCAGCCTGGGGAGGACACGTGAGTAATATTAGTTTAGTAGTCCTATGTTACCCTTAGTGATTTATTATGTCTGATTTACACTTGGTCAGTACAATTGGTCAGAAGCGTAGAGTAACTAGCATAGTGTAAACACTAAATGGCGCTAGTGAATCCATACAATTTGTAACTGGCCGTCGGCACTATCCCACTGTACTGGCCGAGTATAAACCGAGCATTAACAACTGGAGAGTAGCAGTTAGAATCATTTATCCGTCCCGTACTTCATATTAAATTCATCCAAAGATAAATGAACTATAGATAATCCGAAGCACAAAAGTAAGGCAAGAAAAAAATTTATGTCATTTACATTACCAAATAGCATTCTGAATGGAATTCTTTATGGAATTCTCTATGTATAGGTTATGGACCCAAATTGCAAATTAATGTCAAGTTATACAACAAAAACTTAGTGACAACTCAATACATATCCAAATTCATATTACTTCAGTGTTGTGAAGTGGACATTTACCTTTGTGCTTCTTACTGGCGTAGAACTCAGCGCCGTGCACTGTCTTGACGTGCTTGCGCAGAGACGAGGGGTCCGTGTACCTCTTGGTGCAGCCCGGCGCTTTACACACGTACGGTTTCTGAAACGCATCATTAAAATATTATAAATACAAGTAAATATACTACGTAAATAAAAGTTCCACTTTGAAGCAAACTATACGTTCTGTTAAAAAGGAGAAAAAATAAAAAGTTGTAACAGTTTCTTTGACTTAGTGACATTCATATTTATGTATTTTTTATATGCTATGAGATTCCATAAAGATTAGCAATGAATTACTTCATGGACAGCAAGCCATACCTCGTTGCTGTGAGTCCTGTTCTGGTGCTTGGCGCGGTCGCTGGCGTTGGAGAAGGCCTTGGCGCAGCCGGGGTACTCGCACGTGTAGGGCTTCTCCCCGGTGTGGCTGCGCAGGTGCGTCTTCAGGTTCTCCAGCCGCGAGTACGCCTTGCAGCAGCCCTCGAACTGGAAGCACATCTTACATTAGCTACGCAATAAGATATGTATTACAATGCCAATATCGTTTATCTTTTTCCGTATTGCCCCTTTTTCTAACGTAAAAAAAAGTTGTAAATCAAGTTTGAGTAATCAGAAATCAAAAGGCCGAAAGAATGCTTATTTACTCGTAAAACCCTATAAAAGTGATCTCTTAAAGGTAATTTGTTAGTCTACAACCAAATATACTACATGATGCTATCTTTCGTTACTAGTACACCATCTAAAAACCTTGATAGTGATGATATGGGTAATATTTCTCCAAGATTATCAATACTCACAGTACACTTGTGTGGTTTCTCTCCCGTATGCCTCCGCATATGCACAACCAGCATATACTGAGCCTTGAAGGGCTTTTCGTCCCGCGAGCAGCCCACCCAGCGGCACACAAACGCTTTCTTGCTGGCATGGATGTGGTCCGTGTTTATATGCTTCACCAGATCATCTTGTGTTGGAAACTCTAGTTTACAATCCACCTGAAAAATTGACATAGTAAAAGTTAAAACAAGAGAATCAAATAAATGTAACCATTAATGCATTTCATCATCATCATCATCACCAGCTCACTATGCATATTTAACAGTGGTAGTGCCCGCTTTAACATCTTAGCACTGCAGGGCCGGACGCCCGGTGTAATACCACGACCACACAGAAGACAGGCGTGAAATGGAACCAATGCCGTGTTTCGTCTGATGAGTGTGGTGCCGGAGGCCTAATTTAAGTCCCTTTCTCTTTACCACCCTTTTCTTATGAGAGGATGGGAAGGGGAAGTGGATTTAACGGAGGAGGAGATACATAGGAAGGGGAGATATCCTCTTTATGTGCGTCTCCTCCTCTGTCGGATAAGGTTAGGCAACGCATCTGCAATTGCGGATGTCTATGGGCAGCGGTCGCTTCGCCATTTTGGCGGATTCAGGTGGCCGCTTGCTCGTTTGCCACCTTATGTTATAAAAAAAAAATGCGTCCCCACTAAGGGGCTCGGAGCCTACCCTAAGTAAGAGGTGATCAATTCATTTATTCTTAGCGAAAGGTGTTAGATTAAGACGCATTTCCACTGACCCAATGGCAGTTGGTTTCAATGAAGTCTCCGGGCTCGTCCTTGGAGTCGAGTCCGTCGTGCACGGTGCTCTCGGCGGCGGCCGACAGCGGCTTGTTGCTGTGCATCTCTCTGTGTGACATCACACTCTGCGGGGACTTCCTTTGATTCAACGCCGTTGATGCGCTGGTGAAGTAGAAGACAATGCTTGTGAGTTATGGCGAGTTTAATAATTTAAATATAGATTTATAAAATAAATGGGTTTGAAGACAATTATAATTTTTTTTTGTCATTTGTTAGAATATTAAAAAAAAGTATATGGGGCCAACAAAGTTGAAGCTACGACCAAAAATATTGAAAAGACCCTTGTTCTGCTTGATGCTTTCTGAATTATCTCACCTGTCAGCCTCCATAACGCTGGTGATCTCCGGCTGCTGGTGTGGCTGCATGTGCGCGGTGTCCAGCGCCAAGCCCCCGCGCACCTCCACCGCGCCGCCGCCCGCGCCGCTGAGTAGCAGCTGCGTCGGCGAGGATATGTGAGATCTGGAAAACGCAATCACAACAAGCTTTAATATATTTATGTGTTATCTATATTTCTAAACCAATATAATAAAGTGGAATGATTTGTATTTTTGTAGGGCCGATTTCAAAAATTTTTGCACCATTGAACAGCTACATACGTTTTCAGTAAGTAACATAAGTTACATTTTTTATTGCACGTGAGCAACAGTTAGGCTTAATAAGTACCAATAAAACAAAGGAAAAATGTAATAACAAAAAAAACATCACATCACCAGCTCACTATACGTCCCCACCGAGGGGCTCGGAGCCTACCCTAAGTAAGGGTGACTAGGCCATAGTCAACCACGCTGGCCAAGTGGGGGTTGGTCGACTTCACACATGTCTTTGAATTTCTTCGCCGATACGTGCAGGTTGCATCACGATGTTTCTTTCACCGTAAGAACGTCGGGTAAATTATGTACATATGAAAATTCGAAAAATCGAAAATCACATTGGTACACGGCGGGATTCGAACCCAAGACCTGTTGCAGATTACAGGTCAAATGCTTAAACCACTGAGCCACCGACGTTCCAAAAAAACACGAGTTTCAAATTCCATTAACTTCTTCAACTTGAAGTGATCATCAACCTTCATAAAACCTCACAAGGTCGGCAAATCCGATATTGTATATTACCTATGTATCCCCGCTACAAGATGCGCGTGTGCCGCATGATGTGCTGCCGCAGCAGCCGCCTGCTGGTGCGCGGGGTCGAGCAGCACGCCGCCAGCCAGCACGCCGCCGCCACCAACCACACCGCCACGCGCCAGCAACTGCTGCGCCAGCGAGGCGTGCGACAGCGACAGTGCTGGTGATATCGCACCTACAACAAATAAAGCAATCATAAAAACTTGTAAAGAAGTTCTACAAATGTACCAATTGCCGTCGCACCAGCTTTGACGACAATTCATCGTCGACTAGAAAATAACAGTTAGAAGCAGACAATGCAACTACTAGAATAATCAACGAAATAAGTAACAGCATACTAAGAAGAGATTAGGATTTCAGCGTTAGAAAGACTACTGAACTAAAACTAACATGAAAATAAGATATAAGAGAAGCTACAGAATTAAATTGAACATGCACTAGCAATAGAAGTAAAAAGGCTATAATTTACCGAAAGACTTAATCCAATCCTCACCAGCACTGAGGTGGCCATAGCTGCCGGTGGAGGCGGCGGAGGGCGCCCTGACGGCGAGGCTGGCGGGCGAGGCGCGGATGACGGCCGCCAGGTCCAGCGACTCTGCAGAATAAGGACTCCAGGATACAGCCCGTTTACGGTTCGCTGACGCACTTATCGCGCCCCCTGACAATCTTAATCTTGTCGGTGATGCTATTCTTGATCCTGCAACATTCAGGGAATTAATACGTTACGATTATCTTATTTGGTCTTTTGAAAATAGGTTTTGAATGATATAAATTAGGTTTTAGTACTTTTTAATAATTTTGTTTTAGTTTATTCATTGCCAATATTTGCTCAATTATCAACGGTAATTAAATTTAAATCGATAAAATATATAATAATAAATTAATCTTAAATAGATATATCTTAACATAAAGACATAGGAATATTAACAATTAGTGCTGCTTTCGACTTCGATATAAAATTTATTTAAACACATTTAAAAATGTATTTAAACTGTTCTTACCTTCCAAACTCAGCTGAAAGTCTTGACTGGCGAGCGTACTTCCTGCGTGTAACTCAGGGTGTAAACTTCTCGCTGCACTTAGATATTCTAAACCTGCAAAATAAAATACAATGATTAATAAATAATAAAAACTTTACTAAACAAGTCTATCAGGTAATTAATCTACTAATGGTGTAGTGACCTAGGTAACCTTCAATTGTAATATAAAGCTTACTAAAGTATAGTTGTTGTCAAATATCTTGGAGGCTCTGAACATCGGACGAGCTTGAACAGAAGACTTTTTACACGAAGGTGTGGCAGGGCATATAGGTTTGGCAGACAATGCAGCGCACAGATGATCTTAGTCCGTTAAGATATTTGAAAAGACGTACATCAGGTTAAGGGAACAGTGGTGATATTCTAACATTGAACTGACTAAACTAGTTAACACAGTCTTTAAATATTTAATAAATAAGTTTTTGATTAAAGATGCTCAAACGGCGACAAAATAAAAGAAGCAGATGTCTTCGAGATGGTCTAAATCAGTAATAAACATCATACTATTTAGGGTCATATAAATATTTAATAGCTAAATGTAGCTCTACCTGAAGATATATCTTCACTAATTTGGCATAAATAATTAAAAATATTTTTAGCGAACCAATAAACACATCTAACGATCCGATCCTTTGAAATCAGTATTTTATAGCTACTATAAAAGTCGCCGCAATCTATTTCGAATTTAATAAGTCTACAATGGAATACAGCGCATATTTATAAGGCAACCAATCAAGCCGGGTTAGTCATACTGGACGGTAATAACTGCAAATTGAGATGTCAACGCGCTAGAAGCATTTTGAATATAAACTGCCTATTTATCGCTGTTGGTGATTAATAAAAACATGGGCATGGTGCATTACGAGAATTTAACTTAAATGCACTTTGTAAACCCGTACCAAACGACTGGCTTTCGCCCGCGAGTCCTTTCGCGTTGAATAAATAAAATTGAAAGTAAGATCGGTAGTCCATACCTCATTAAGCGCTTCAATTTTGGATATAGATTACCAACTTTGTTTTGGTGGTTTTTTAATATTACCTATTTGTTTTTTAATTATCTTTGGCAATTCGGCGTAATAATCACATTTCCCTTATAATGTGACTAACCAGCGGGCTTTTATTGCTCGTTTTATTACTAGCTGTTAGTCGTAAATTTGTTTGTTGGCAAAATAATAAGCGGCGCGTTTGTGGAGTTTATTTTACGTTTAGTACGATAAACGTTTTCTTGATAAGTTTTAACAGGCCAACAAAAATGTATATTTATAGCTCATCCCTACTACAAGTTTATTGCTATTTAAAAAGGGAAATATTACTTGATTGAACTTGTTTGAACTACGTACATTTATTTTTTACTTTGAGTTTAAAATGCTAATAACAGTAAACATTAAAAATCAACATAATATTATAGTGAAATATAGTAACTATTTTGAAGTTTATGTTATGCAAATCCTCATAAAACATCTATTAGAATAAATAAATTGCTTGAGGCGATCATAAAACAATCATCGTCCAGCATTCGTTGATTCATAGACATTTATTTTATGTTAATCAAATACTCATTTATTGAGTATTGATTTATGCATGGATATTTAAATTTTATGTATCTGAGTATGGTGTTCATAACTAGAAGAATATAGAAAATAGACTCAATGTAAAAATACTTAGCAATAACAGAATAGTTGCTTTAAAACCCTTATTGTAGTTTTATTTAGTAGCGTGCGATTCAACCGGCGGCCGGTTCAACGGAGGGAGAATGTGGTTAATAACCTAACGTAGTTATTTAGTTATTAATCAAAGATAATCAGCGGGACGCCTCGCCGAGATTGTGTCATGGCGGCCACGAATCACCATAACAATTATACGCCCATTCCTTCGAAAACAAACACGTTTTTAAGGCAAAAAAGAAACGATAAAGCAAAAACAAAACGGCTCGATTTGGTGATCACGCTCAGGCGATCCGGCGGGCTATTTGGCCACAAATAATGGCTCGATGCGAGGCGTCAGGGACCACCAATTTGGGGAGCGCCGCAACGAGATGAGTTTCTCGAAATATCACGAAATTAACGTATGTGGTCCCCTTTTGACACACCGACAGGCGACTTCCAAAATTTTTATGTCTTCATCGCAATGTGTGAGAACCGACCGAGTCATCGATGTACGAATCTATAGAGGAAAAAAACGAATCATCGATCGAGAGCAATAAGTTGATCCGTTTCGAATTCCATTTGAGTCTGCGTTGGTCACCCGTGCGACATTCGTGTAACCGCTCGCAAAAAGCTCACCCGAAATACCGCTTTATCGTACTTTTATCGAATAGTTGAAATATCGGGCGGCGGGTTCGAAACGATTGGGTCGGTTTTAGCTTATCGACATTACTGTACGCATCGCTTAGTTCCCGAGTGATGTATTAATTTTTATCGATATCGATTGGGCGTAAAATTTGTAACCGGGTGGACGACATATAGCGGTCTGCGGTCAGTTTGAGCGTTAAAATATGAATTTCAATAGCTTTGTTAGGCGGCCCCTTTCTGGCACGGTGTGCGCAGTGACTTCGTAACGGCGTATACTAATGAGAGCGGCTGTAAATTATGAGTTTACTTGTAAGGACGTGCGGCGAGATGAAGGCAAAGCGACGTGAATTTGTAATGTCGGCGATCCTTCTTTTTTTAAATATAAATATATATATATAAATAAAAATATCTAGCAGATGAAAAAACAAATTACAGACATTCAATGTATTTAAGTATACAGTAATCTGCTAAGGCTGGTTACTTATGGATTAATTTATGAAGCGTATATTATTAAAAAGCGCTCAAAAACACGCCGACACAAGGTGGTTTTCTCTGAATATTGACATAACAGTTTCTACCGTTTCCTCATACTTAAAGACGCTTTATGTTGTGATAACTTTGTTACTAAATTACGAACTGTCCAAATTAACTTAGGATTTCTGCATAGTCGTAGGCTGTAATTACAGCAATTGCATTGTTCAGTCATCGAGTTCTAATTAAATTTGTTAATGATTATGACGTCAACGAAATGGCAAACATTATTTTCAGAAGTCGTGAAAGCCGACTAATCATTAAAACATCAAACCCAATAAAACGATTAGTGGGAAGGTTCGTTTAGATACTGCAAAAAACAGCCTCGTCCGTTAACAAGGTTTTTTATTCTGTAATCAAGCGTTATAGCAGGTAGCCGGGGTGCTATGTAAAACAGCCATAATTCTGACGCTTCTCGGAATATGATAAAAAGGTTCTTCAGCTTGGAAGGGATGATTGATGTCTTGACTTAAAGCTTAAAAAAGCGACAATCAATTTGCCTTGATTTATTCATTCAATAAATTTATTTTAATTTAACAAAATTGTTACCAAATTCAAGCCTGACAAATAAACACTAAAAGTAAAAAGTTACGATCAAAAAGACGCTTACAAACGAATAAATTTTACGAATTACAATTATAAAAAAATCCTTAACCGCTTGCGAAGAAATACGTAAGAACAAAAGTACGTAAATATACTGTAATTTCATGTACATCTGTAATTAAATTAAATATAACTCAATTCAAACATATAAACACGAATAATATCCCATAAGGTAACTCTCTCAGTTTCATAACTCGTTATAATATTCAAGCCATAATTATACCTTAACGGTTGAAGGTCTCTCCTTCCCGTAAGTATACATCTGTATCTTCTATCCTTTTCTGACTTTTGATATAATCTGAGATGATTTATTCACATGACTATTAAATGACTTTATTTGAAATCTTACCACAGCAATTCATTCTCAATAAGAGAGTCCTATAGTGTGAATTTTCAACGTAATATCAAGACTAAGGGCCTCCCTTAACTGACTGTGGCAATTAACGCACTTTATGAAAACTTACAAGCCCTTATACTGACTTTTTGAACCTAACATCCATACTAGATTGTCTTAGATTAACTTAGTTTATAAAGAAAGTTGCTTTAATTTTACATCTTTCTAATTCTTACTGCTTACTAATATTATATTATAAATGCGAAAGTTTAGATGGATGGATGGATATTTGTTAGAGTTTGTATCCTAAACGGCTCAACGGGTATCGATAAAACTTGGCATAGGTGTAGACGAAAGTCTGAAAAAATACATAAGCTACTTAGTTTTGTTTTTTTTTAAATACCATGCGGTCGGAGTCGCATGCAAAAGCTAGTTAAGTTAATGAAGACATCGATATCATTTTATACACATTTCAATATCAGAGGAAAGTTAAAACTTAAACAAGGAATGGTAACAGCAGTAGTAAGAAATCCAAAACCAAGCAAGCTGCGCCCATATGCCCTTCCGGTCCCTTCACACTA